TTGGGTTTCAAAGGCTTAAATCACCTGCAACAAATGGGTTTATGCTAATGAACCTTGGGCTGTCCGGCCTCTCTCCAACTCTTCTTCTGTTCAATTTATTGTTTCATCACGTCCAACATTATTAATCTCGCATTTTAATTCAAATTTTCTATTTGGTCATTTGATGTGCCAACTTTTGCTTCTTCATATTTTTTTTTCAATAATGTTTTGATCATTTCATTTTTATTTTTTGATTTTAGTCTTAAATGTAGATTATAAGTGTCAAAATGATGTTTTATTTTTGGTGATTTTTTTTTTTCTTGTAGAGTAATGGAATGCGACCAGCAAATTACGTTGCTACAAATGAAGGACACGCTTATTAAATAAAGCAGAATGAGAATATGGTGAAAGAGAAATAGGATAAAAAGAGGAAAAAAATAAAACTTGGTCAAAACGTTGGGGCTATATGACAAAGCTTTTTTGGATCTACTGTGCAAAATTGAATATGTAATTATTGTGATTTTTTTTTTTGCATATCTGACAAAAGGAATATAATGGAATCACCTGGATATTATGTAGCCATTTTTACAATACATCCAAATTGGAAATAAGTGGATCAAAAGAAGTTGAGGTTGAATGTTATGTTGATTAAGGATATGGAGGATGTTGGAATTTTAGAGATTTTTCTCTTTTTGGTTTCTTCTATTTTTATTATTTTCTATTTTATAATTTCTATTTTTAGGATTAGCTATTTTTGGTAATTTCTATTTCCTTTTTCTAGCATGAGGATTTTATGGCTTTTCTAATGTGGTGGCCTTCCCCCTCAAATTATCTCGTAACCGAGCCACTGTCCCGACTAATGGGACTATGAGGTTTGTTGTAAAAAGATTTGATTTTGTCAATTTTTTTTTCTACATGTTTTTTTGCTCCCTTATAGGAGAATTATCACAAGGAATCATTTTCAAGTTTTTGGTGATGGAAGGAAAAGCTGAGAGATTCGTTGATGTCAGTTTCTATGTCAGTTTCTACAGTGTGATACAGGTTTGTAAGAAAGTTTTTGGTGATTGACAATGTTAATGATTGTCATAGTTGATACTGCAAGTTTCATGACACTTGCATTAAGGTTTTAAAGGGACACTAGAGAATGAGAGAAAGGAGCTCAACATATCCATATGGGATAATGCTGCTCTCAATATAAATCTTTGAATGATAGGACAAAGGAATATAGCATTGCATCAAACAAAAGTACGAGCAAATCTGATGTCGTATATTTTTTGGTTAATTTTGTGTTGATAAAGAATAATTTGTGCATGACATCTAAGTTGATTAGCTATACAACCTGTCTCAAAAATAAGTGTATGCTGTGAATTTGTGAATTCTGTCATGCATGCTTGCATTCAAATGTATCTACCATTATACTATATGATTATATTGTATTATTATTTCCTCTTAAGTTCTTTGATGGAATATCTTAGTCTCGATATTTTGTTTGTGCCTCAAGTTGTGGCTTCATTTTATTTTCTTGAGCTATATTTGCGTACTTTTATTTTATTTTTTTATTATATATTTGGGGGAAAATAGATTACTAACATTTGGCTAGCTCGGCATAAAGGTAAATTACATATGGAGTTTTCTTGACTTCTTCCAAAAGTTTCACCGCATTCTTTTATCTGCTAGGTAATTAGTTAGTTAGTAGACTCCACTCAACCAGAATTTGGTCGGATAATATCCAAACCCAAAAAATTCAGGCGGGTTTTAGGATCACTTATAGTAAACCAGCTCGATTTCAATGAGACCTGGAATTTATCCATGCAACCCCCCAATAGCTCGATTAGGAGTCTTTAGCTATAGTAGGTTTTGCTGAAAGACAAGCTTTAGCTTTCGTCACCTTCTTTTTTATGTACTTGATAAGACTTTCCCAATGCCTTCCTAATTTATAGAAAGACTATCTCCATTCGATTTCCTATGAGACTCTGTGTGCATTTCAAAAGCATTTAACATCAGTTGTAGGCTTGTGAGATGAATCTAAACTATCTTCACCAGTGAAATCATTTCTTGCCATAGCCTTAAAAGAGTCATTCCAATTCCATCAAATTAGTTGTGCAATTATTTTATGTAAGAACCAAAGTTAAGAAAATATTTGATAAGATGGGTCAGATCCATTTTCCAGACATGCTTTCACGAACAGTAATTGGAATTAAAGAAGCTATAGCAATATTAGTTTTAGCTGATAAGGATTTTGTGACATATAAAATGTGGGCTGAATTCAAGAGCCTATTAGTAGCACCGACACCATCTAGAGGAACAATTGAAGTTTTTACAGAGGATGGTATCCGTACATAATAAATTTGGTTATGGTTATACTGTGAGCGTGTTGACATTCTGAGAATTATCTATGGTTCCTTGATTAACTTGAACGCCTCTCTCCATAATCTCATGATCCACGCCTTTATTGGTACGAACTAGGTTTTGTTGCTCAACTAGGTTTCCTTATCCGGGGTGAAGAAAAAAGTAAAATGAATCTTTATTACCATGAATTTTGCAAAGAGAGCAAAGCAAGAGGATTTCTCATGACCATTAATTTTGCAATGAGAGCGTTAAATTGAAATACATTCAAAAAGCTACACCTTATCAAATTCGATTATGACATCCAAATTAAATATAACTTTCACTGTAGATGTAGTATTCGAATTTAGCAGTTCACTTGAGTAACCTCGTGGGAAACTAATAACATAACAAGAATGACTATAAAAAGGTCTGTTGTAATTGGAGCTTTTATTGAGAAAACTGCAAACAAGCTAATTTAATGAAACCACCATCATGAACCTAAAAAAAGGCTAATTTCTGAGGACACAACAAAAGTTGATCTCTCAAAACGGTGAAAACTGACTCTCAACCTCATTATTGGTCTAGTTGCAGCCATTGATTGATTCTAAAAATGATTGTTGTATTTCATTCTCTCGTGTTTTAATTCTTGTTCTACAATTGCCCTTTTTTCAACCTCTGAATAAAGCATTTGTTATTAAGTTGTTGAAGTATATATTTGAAAACAATATTGGCATTTTTGCTTACTGAAAATTTGAATTTATTTAATTTTAGGTGCATGAAATCAATCTGTGGGACATTGAGGTATTTGTTATTATTTGAGCTCGACACCTGAAACATTTCAGTTGCAACAATGATCGCTTCTAAATCTAGAAATGTTGGACTTCCATTAATGAATTTGATCAGAACAAAAGAGTTTTCTATATTACAACAATTACATCTGGAGGAAAGGCTGCTTCGAGCATCTTCAGATAATTGGTGTATTATAAATAATGGAACAAACCAACCTAATATTGTCATGGGCATATCTGGGTAACTAAAAATTTTATACTCCATGTTCCTGTTGATTATAGTTCAATCCATCTATATGTATGTTTGGCCTTTACATAACCTGGTTTGTATCAAATTAGCTTCATTCTAAAATTGAGTTGGGGTTGAGTCTGGATGAAATTGGGTAATATTTTTGAAGGATTTTTTTTAATGAGTAACATGAAAACTAACAAAAAATACACCCGTTTAACACCAGGAAGCCTGAAGAGCTTGTTGAAGTTGAGCTGGTGCTTCAAGATCAGGTTCCTGTGATTAGAAGGTTTACTGGAGGAGGCACTGTAATTGTTGATGACAGGACTATTTTTGTAACTTTTATTTGCAATAAAAATGCTATTCCTGGGCTTCAACCATTTCCCCGTCCTATTATGTCATGGACAGGTCAATTTTACAAAAATGTCTTTGAAGGTTATGGCGATTTTCAGCTTTGCGAAAATGGTGAGATTCTGCTATTTTTAAATGTATTTATTTATATTAGTTCTTAACGCATGTATTTCTCAGTGTCAATGGTATAGTTAGATTATCATTCTTAATTGATGCATGTTTTATGAATTTTTGTCTTGTAGGCATGCTTGTTTTGAATTCTGTCCCTTGCGATCGTGTTTTAAAATTTTGAAAGTTTATCTGACTACTTATTCTCCAGATAACAGGATGACTGAAGGATTAGGTTTTGCTGTTTTATTTGTAACACATTCATCGTCCTCAGATATCATATTCAGCTACAAGTTTTGAAGCTCCAATAAGGATTTTTTTTTTTGTTTGATTATAATTGCTATTCCTGCTTTGTTCTTCTTTTAATTATTCTTGATTAGTGCTCTTGATTTTGATAATTGAATGATGCAGCAAGTAAAAGATAATTTTTTCCCCAAATCAGCTTTGGCATGTCAAATTTTTAATTGAAATCAAGAATGCTAAGCTAGCCATTAACAAATTATGCAAAAGAAATGAACTAGGATTAAAATTATCAAAATTAAGAATTTAGGCTTCATGTTGATAAAAGGAGATTACTTCCCTGGATTGAGGTGTACTTGTACCATGATCGAAGTAACACATTCAATTTGTACCCAGAAGATTGAAAACTGTATGAGAAATTTTATTCAAGCAAAAAAAGTGAAAAATTTTATTATTCAAGCCTTTAATTATAAACTCCTTATGGCTTTGGTGAATGAATAATGTTAGCATGTAATTGGTCTCAATTGAGAATTCAGGTAAATACAAAAATTTAGCATATTTTAAACTATATGATGAATTTAACCAGCTTGACAAGTCTTTGTCTTAGCCTATTTTGGGAATGCTAATATCTTAAACTTAATGTTCAAAGCATAGCCCAAACTCTTTAGATACGATACAATATCTCTAATATTGAAGAGTTTGCACAACTTCATATTATAAGGCTATCATAGTTAAATATTTCTATTTTGTTTGGATGTTATTTGCTCAAACATCTCATAATACCAGTATGAGATGCATCATAAGAAATCTCAAATACTTTAATAAAATCAAGCAGCTTAAGTATAATATGTATTTATTAGTCTCTTGAATTTAGATCAATAGACTTAGTCTATTTAAATTTTCTTTGTTTACAAAGCATTTGCACTTGGAGCCATGATAGTACAAAGCTCTTTAATAAATATCTATAAATAGTAGACTAATCATAAAAAAACTCTAAATATCATGTATGCTAATTGGTTTTGGTGAATCATTAATTGTTTTAAATTTTTTAGAGTCTACTACTAATCTAACTTTGAGACAACAAATCTTAAGAACAATAAAAATAGTCACAACAACATTGTTATACATATACGATTTCTGTGCTTGCAATATCTCAAATACCTTCCTCAAAAGCACCAACTGATCACATCATGTCTTGTTATATGTTAAAATATGATAAAACTCAAGAACAAGAAACTTTTCATTAACATGGTTAATTATTCTCATGAAAGTGTTAAATGCATTGGTGAATCTAACAATGCATCACCAATGTAATTTTTCATTCTCATTTGATCATTACTATTTTAAAAAACAATTTTTGAAAATAGCACAATACCATTCATTATATCCAAACAACGTACATGAAATTTTTATTTAACGGTAGTTTTCTTGATGGCTCTACTATCTACATGTTTATGCCAACTGCCATATTATGTACAAGCAAAGCAAGCACAACACAAGAACATATATTTTTCCTACTTAAATATTTGATTAATATGTCTCTTAAGTTTAACCTCGTCTACTGGATTAAAGTTGAATAGTGAGGTAAATTTGATTATGATAATTTAGGAACTAATTCAATAACATGCTGTGTAACTCTAAGCAGTGGCAATTCATGAGGAAGTTTATCAGGGCAAGTATATTTAAACTCTCATTTAATTTAAATGTAATATATTAGGTATTTGTTTTTAAATTTAATATATAGACAAATTTAAATCGAAACAGAATACCGAAACTCTTTAATCAACCAAAACTAAAGCATTCATAATTTGAGTGAAATTGAAATGGAAATTCAAGTTTTAAAACTTCGCTAATGGCATTTCCCCATATGAAACATTGTTGGAGCATTTCAGTAGAAATATAGTGAACAACTTTAAAATTCAGAGACAACTAGCAGCGGATCTTTCAGTGGCAGCAGTTCACAGTTCAGAGTGGAGGAAAAAAATTCTCATTTTATCCTCTACTACTTCAACAGTGAAGGGAGCATTTTATGCTTTCTATTTCTTCATTTTGGATTTATTGAGGTTGGTTGTACTGATAAAAGAAATGTTTAGGACTATAGTTTTTAAATTTAGCATTCACAGTTTTTAATTTGTTTTGTGCTCATCCTTCTTGTATGAAAGTTTTATGCGATGGGTGGTTATAAATCATTTATTTTCAAATGATAAAGAACTACTCTAATAGTCTCCATTCTTTTGAAGTCGAAATAAGAAATTTGATAACCCACCCCGCTTTTTTCTTCGACCACTCATTTTATACATTTCTCAAGCTTGAATGAGCCAAAATAATTTTGCAAAACATTTTCATACATGCAATTGTGAAATCAAGCTTATAAGCAGGGCACATATGTCAATCAAATTTGCATATTATTTTTTAAATTTTACAGTTTCTTCTTCTTTGCAAATCGTAGAATTTTCACAACATTGATTTCCTTGACGCATGCATTTTGGCCTGTTTAGATTATGCATTTGGTCTCCGCAAATTTGGTGGAAATGCTCAATCTATAACAAAAAATCGCTGGATTCACCACACTTCATTTTTATGGGATTATGATGTCAGGAACATGCAGTACCTGAAAATACCTAAGCGAGCTCCTGAATATAGATTGGTATGATCTATTCTGATTTTGAGGTTTTGATATATTTGGGCCATTTACATACATACCAACCAATTCCTAATGTATTTACATATCTAATACCTAAATTTTACTTCCTACATTTATAACATCCAAATCTTCATATCACAAAAAACACCACTATTTTAACTTTTGAATGTAAAAGAAACCTTTTCATGCATGGGTAAAATTTTAAGCATGTAAAATTTGAAGTTTAGGTGTTAGATATGTAAATACAAAGGAGTTGAGTGGTATCTATATAAATCTTTCTTTATTTTTGTTCTTCTTTCTGAAGATGTTGCAGTTTGATGTCCGACATGTGATTTTCTCTTCATGTGATTTTTTAATTGGATGCTGAGATACTTCTAATGAGTTTTTTGTTTTTTCTCCCTTGTATGCTTTCTGTTTTTAACATCCTGATATTGATTAAAGAGAAAACTTACCATAATGAAGTTGCTTGCTTTATAGCCTTTTTATGCACTAGTTGATAGTTTGAATATGATAAATTTAAATATTAAATGCTTGTAACTTGTAAGGTATGAAAATTAGATGATGGAGTCTCATTGGTTAACATCAAATAATAAATTTATTGTTTATAGATATGAATTTGCATTTGCTTAAGTTGCATGCACCGAAAGGAGGATTTATTATTTTCTGAAGGTTTCTTTGGCAGCATAATATCATCTTTGAAACTCAAATAT